TATTTGAAGCTTGGCGTGACTGTCTCTGGATAGTGGTGCTGGTGGTGCTGGTGTCTTGAAGGTACATTTTCAAAGTTTTATCCAACTAGAGGTAATTAGAAGCCTGGCCGATGAACCTCGTGCTAGCGATGAGGTGCAAGACGGACTCGAGGCAAAAAAAAATAAAATAAAAAAAAGAGTAAAATGGAATATAAAAGAATTGGTTCGTTTCAGGAGTTGGTTCATTCTGGTTTCTTTTGTGATGGTGTGGTGTGGGTGTGGTGTAGGTGTGGTGTGTAGGTGTGGTGTAGGTGTGGTGTGGTGTAGGTGTGGTGTTGGTTGGTGGTTTGTTTTTTGGTTGTGTTGGTTCGTTTTAAAGCTTCGTTGGTTACGTTAGGTTGGCTAGCCTGCTTACACCACTGATCAAGTCTGCAGGTTGAGGAGCCATTAGCGGTCACTCACGGTCAAAACGACTCATAAATTGCCCAGAGTGACGGAGTGAAACTTAGGGAACGAGTTACAGTTGGACACTCAACCGCTGGAGTTACTGTAAGGTCTGAGTGACAGTATGAGTTAGGTTAGGTTAGGTTAGGTTAGGTTATTATTATCACTATCTGTCCTCTTACCACCACTAGTACTACCACTATCAGTTCTACTACTACTACTATTATTCCCATTTCTTCCAGCGTTACCATCATCATCACTACTACTACTACTATCGCCAACCAATTATCCTCACTACCCCCACCAACAATCACCACCAACCACTGCAATCACCAAAATTATACCTATTAGTATCTTAAAACACAGGTGAGTCCATACATACATACATACATACATACAGTACATACATACATACATACATACATACATACATACATACATACATACATCTAATCAATAAACTAAAGTGATTGACGCCTTTTTCTTTACCAAATTGGAAACGTTTTTTTACTTACTTACTTACTTTCTTACTTTCTTACTTTCTTACTTACAACAGGTGTGGGTGTTAATTACGGTGTGTCGCCAGGTGAACTCGGTCGATAAATTGTATATATCTTTTAGTCGTTTTTATTCCGAAAGACAAATATAACTGAGATGTTGTTCTTTGTGTTTTCGTGTTTTTTGTGTTTTTGTGTTTTTTATTGTGCGTTTATTGATACTTTTTATACCTGGAGCAAAAATTCGTCTAATAAATGGGTATTGCGTGTGTGTGTGTCTCTCTATCTGTCTGTCTGTCTGTCTGTCTCATTAAATTTCTCTACCTATGTTTGTTAACTTGTGTGTGTGTACATTCTCCTGTCCGTCCGTCCATTTACCTGTCCGTCCATTCGTCCGTCTGTACATCTATCCGTCTATCCGTCCTTCTGTCCGTCTATCTGTCAGTCCGTCCCCCCCATCAGACAGGAGAGCAGCCCAGGACACGTGTCTGGAGGAGTCGTGTCGGTGGTCGATTTGTCTATCTTAAGAGGTCAGCGTCCAGGAGCCAAGCATCAACCCTCACGAACACTCCTTCCTCTCCCTCCTCCTCCTCCTCCTTCTTCTTCTTCCTCTTCCTCCTCTTCTTCCTCCTCTCCTCCTCTCCTTCCTCTCCTCCTCCTCCTCCTCCTCCTCCCTTCTTCCTCCTCCTCCTTCCTCCTCCTTCTTCTTCCTCCTCCTTCTTCCTCCTCCTCTTCCTCCTCCTCCTCCTTCTTCTTCCTCCCCCTCCTCCTTCTTCCTCTTCCTCCTCCTCCTCCTTCTTCCTCTTCGTCCTTCTTCCTCTTCCTCTTTCTTTTTTTCCTCCTCTGCTCTTTCCTCTTCTTCTTCTTCATCCCTCTCTTTCTTCTTCATCCTGTCCCTATTTTTCTTCTTCCTCCTGCTCTTCCTCTTTCTTCTTCTTCCTCTTCCTTCTCATACTCCTCCTCCTCCTCTTTCTTCTTCGCCCCTCCTCCTCCTTCTCCTTACCCTTTATCTTCCTTTTTTCTTGTTCTCCTCCTCCTTCTCTTTACACTCTTTTATCTCTTCCTCCTTCTTCCTTGTCTCTCCCCTTTCTCATTATACAATTTATTCCTTCTTCTTCTCCTCCGGTTTAATCTCTTCTGCTTCATCCTCTAAATCCTACTCTTCCTCCTCCTCCTCCTCCTCCTCCTCTTCCTCTTCTTCTCCATCCTCTTCCTCTATTACCTTAGGAGGAGAGAATGGGAAAGGGAGGTGGGAAGAAGAGGGGGGGAAGGGGGGAGAAAGTAAGAGAGAAAGGGAGTTGAGGACACGAGAAGAAGAAAGGGGGAAAGTGATAAAGAGGGGAAGGGGAAGGAGGAGAAACGGGAAGAAAGGGGAAAAAGAAGAATAAAGTATAGAAATGGTGAAAATAAAGATGAAAAAGAGAGAGAGAGAGAGGAAGTGATAAAGGATAATAAGGACAGCACCAATAATAATCACTCTACCCACACCTCATCACCCGACCCCTGCCACCTCACCCCTATCCAACCCCACCCACACACTCCCTAACTCTACCCCCTCACCCAACCCCACACCCACCCCCACTCCCCATCCCGCCCACTCACTCCCTAACTCTACCCCCCTCACCTAACCACTCCCCATCACCCTACCCCTCCTCCTGACCCCATTACACTGCACCTCCTCCTCACCCCACCCCTCACCCCGCACCCTCTACCCCCTCACCCCTCACCCCTCACCCCCCAGGTAGAGGGTCACGCGAACTTCTGATACATCGGCTCTGATCTGGTGACACGATGCCTTTAATACTTCCTAATATCGTTGTAAGTCTCAAAATACGGTCTGTCATGTCAGGTGCAAGCAGGTACGGGTCATGAGGGGTCAGGAGCAAGTAGGTACAGGTCAGGTCATGAGGGGTCATGAGCAAGCAGGGTACGGGTCATGAGGGTCAGAACAAAAGGGACAGGTCATGAGTGTGAAGAGGAGCAAACAGGGCGGGTCATGAAGGGTCAGGAGCAAGCAGAGACAGATCACGAGGAGTATAGGTCGTAGGATGAGGGGAGTCAGTGGAAGGATCACGTAGGATGGGATTTAATTCATGGAATCCTAAAAGATCAGATTCCTTAGAAACATAGGATATCTAGGAATTATGAAAGGACTCTAGGATCATATTCATCCTATGTGTATTTATATATAATCCTAAAGGAAAACAAATCCTTTTTTTTTTACCCCACACGAAGGATGGCTTTAATAACTATAAACATTGCTTAGAAAAACGATCTTGAGTTAATCCGGATTATGATGTGGATATTTTGCCTTTATTAGGTGAACGTCTTTTTTTTTTTAATTCTCTAGATTCGTGAGGATAAAGATGATCAGTAATATAAACAACGATGAAATGATAACTGAGAGAGAGAGAGAGGTTAAATCGTGAGTGATTATATAGAGAGGGATAAATAAGAGATAGTGAGAGACAAGGTAAACAAAGAGGAGATAATGAGAGACACAGACAGACAGACAGACAGACAGACAGACAGACAGACAGACTAAATTAAACTTTCGCATGACAAAAACTCAACAAAAACATACAAAGTAAATAAAAGACAACTTACAAAAAAAACACACAATATACAAAAAAAAACATCCACAAGAAAGAAAGAAAGAAAGAAAGAAAGAAAGAAAAAAAGAAAGAAAGAAAGAAAGAAAGAAAAAAGAATAACAATGTTTTAAATCAACTAAGTAAAGTAAACAACCCAGCCAAAAGCATCAGGTCTCTAAAACATTGCGACATGAACCTTGGTATTCAAACATTGATAAACATTTGCCTTGTTAAACATTTACTCGTACCCTGATGTATCGACAAACACTTTACTTAGTCATTATAAAACAACACTCGTGCTTGAGAGAGAGAGAGTCAGTGTGTGTGTGTTTGTCTGTGTTTGAAATTTGCTTTTACTGTGATTGATCGATTTACGCTGAGTGTTTGTATATGTTGTGTGTGTGTGTGTGTGTGTGTGTGTGTGTGTGTGTGTGTGTGTGTGTGTGTGTGTGTGTGTGTGTGTACATATCTATATCAAGCCACATGTATGAAATTCGTGTGGATTTACATGTATATCTAGATAGTTATGTGTATGTATGTATGTTATATAGGCCTATGTGTATATACGTACATTTAGACCTAGATGTAGGTTTAACTCAGCCACAAATAATGATGAGTAAACCTTAACTATAATTTCTTCCTGTATAAATTTTCTTGTAATGCAAAAAAAAACCGAATATGAAAAATATCACAATAAAAGATAATAAATATAAGATAAATCCGTTAAAAAACAACTAAAAACAAAACACGAACAAGAATGAATAATAAAAATCCGTAATCAGATTAATGTAAACCGGATTTAACAAGAGATATTGGAATCTTAGTGTCAGATTAGGTCAAAGAGAGACAGGATTTATATGACGTGGCCATTAGGCTTTAACCTTGTAAATTCCACTATGGCGTGCAAGGATAAATCTCCCACGTAAATCCTGTACATGAATCCTAGATAAATTTACGTTAATCCTACTTAAATCTCTTATTAATTCACCCCCCCCACAAAAAAAAAATTACGTACAAAATTTCCAAGAAAATTCCCCACATAAATCACATGTAAAATACCACGTAAATCACCAGCATAAATTCCCCTTAAAAACGAGGTATTTGTTTACATAAATTCCAGGAAAATTCTGCGTCATCTGTATCACAAGGAGTCCATCCATATCCACTCCTACAGGATAAGGGTCAAAAAACTCCTCATAAACCACTCCTTAGGTCCTCTTAATGACCGAAGGATCTCTCTATCAGTACTCCTGAAGGATAAAGGTTGTAAGGACTTTACCTACAGCCTCTCCTATAGGATAAAAAAGTCAAAGTCATTCTCGTTTACCAATAGGATGAGAAGGATGAGAAGGATGAGAAGGATGAGAAGAATAACTTTTTTCCTCATCCTCTTTCCCCTCACTCCTCCAGAAGCATAACACCTTCGGTAGGATAAATGACTAGAGAGAAAAAACAACCATTCTCTCACTCCTTCAGTAGCACCTACCTGAAGGAACATCTCGCCGTCAAGGACCTGGTGATCGTAGGTGATGAGGTCCCTGTGTCGTGTAGGATGGATGACTTCCCCCTCAGTCTTCTCGCCGGCTCCACCGTGCATCATCACTGTCAACAACAACAACATCACGGGGTTAGTATTTGAGGTGGCTAATGGTGGAACGTGACTTGGCAACAGTACTGAGAAACGAGACAAAACTATGACAATAACAAGTAAATAGTGTCTTAAAACAAGTAAATAATCTTAAAACAAGTAAATAGCCTTAAAACAAGTAAATGGTGTCTTAAAACAACAATATAATGATGTATTAAAACAAAAAACAATTACATTACACTCAAATAGAACGATGTATAAAAAGCAAAGTAACAGTATAACACAATAACACTGTACTGAAACAATAACAACACAACAACATTATGAAAACATTATCAAGACTATAACAACATTACCAGCACAACTATACTAATAAACACTACACACAGGTCCACACCACCACTAAACACAGGTTCACACCACCACTAAACACAGGTTCACACCGCCACTAAACACAGGTTCACACCACCACTAAACACAGGTTCACACCACCACTAAACACAGGTTCACACCACCACTAAACACAGGTTCACACCACCACTAAACACAGGTTCACACCACCACTAAACACAAATTCACACCACCACTAAACACAGGTTCACACCACCACTAAACACAGGTTCACACCACCACTAAACACAGGTTCACACCACCACAAGAGCCGCGACGCCATCTTTAAATCCTTCGCCCACTCCTGACAACAACAAACGAAATGTCAACACAACAAGTCTAATGAATGGCGTCTCCACCGCTCTCATTACACCGTCGTAAATCCAGACTCTCCCTCAGAGGCTGACGAAGGGAGAATCAACTACAGTACACGCTGCTCTGATCCCCAGCACGCGATACCGTGCGTACACCCACTAAATATTTGCTCCTGTGTTTGGTACGCCATGACACAGAAGTAAAGACAGGTATTCGTATAGCTTGCTGGTTTTAGCTGTGTGTGTGTGTGTGTGTGTGTGTGTGTGTGTGTGTGTGTGTGTGTGTGTGTGTGTGTGTGTGTGTGTGTGTTTTCTGTCTATTAATATCTCGTGGACTAATGTGGACACAGGTGTACATTTGTGTTACTTAGCTTATTTATCTCCCTGGACAGGTGTGCGTGTGAGTGATTTTTCTATTTATATTCCTGGATAAGTGCAGACAGATATAGACAGGTGTGTGTCAGCAGGAACACTTTAATATACCTTATTACATGTGGCTAAACCAATACTCGTATATGTGTCCAAAATATCTGTCTGTTTATCGGTCTGATATACTGTACTTATACAGGTGTGGATCAGTGTCTGTCTGTCTGTCTGTCTATCTATCTGTCTGTCTGTCTGTCATAAAGGTTCACAAATAAGTTTTTTCACACCACACAGCTGGTACTTCTGCTCTCTCTCTCTCTCTCTCTCTCTCTCTCTCTCTCTCTCTCTCTCTCTCTCTCACACACACACACACACACACACACACACACAAAACACCGTAAACACTCACACAGTTTAGTCCCCATAAAACACTCTGTGGATGGATGGCCCGACAGACTTCGCCAGGCCTGTCGCTGCTTGCGTGTTCACCGTTATATTCCACAGAACTTGTTAATTGTCGGTAATGGACTTTCCCCTGACAGTGTTGGCGCTGGTGGAGGGAAGGTGGGGGTGGTGGGGGTGGAGGAGGTGGGAGGTGATGGGGGTGGAGGAGTGATGAGGGAAGTAGGGAGAGAGAGATCGGGGATATAGAGATGGAGAGACGGAGGAGGGGTGTTGGGAGGTAAGGAATGGCAAAGAAGGACACATCACACCCCCCCCCTTCCCAGCCGAACCTCACTCCACCTCAGCCCGAAACTCACTCCACCTTAGCCGAACCTCACCCCACCCGAACCTAACCTCACCCCACCTTAGACGAACTTCACCTCACCCTAGCCCGACCTTACCCCAGCCCCGCCTCCCTCGTGTCAACACCCACTACCACTACCTCCCCCACCCCTACCAACACCTACCTCCTGTACCATAATTTGCTCTTTGACTTGTACTTTTCTTGTTGCATAATGGTGAAGCAATGCCATATTCTTTTATTTTTTTTTATTTTCGTTTCTATTTTACATTTCATTTTACCACTGTTTCCCCTTTTTGGTATTCTCGTTTTTTGTTTTTTTATTATTTAGCTTTCCTCTTTCCTTCTTTATGGGAGGTGATATATTTTTGGTATTTATTTTTGTATAATATTAATAACACCTGATAACACCTGCATTATTAACTCAGGTGTATTAGTTTTTTTAGTTTCTTTTTTATTTTACTTTAGTCCCCCTCCTCCTCCCCCCAAACAGGTGATTTTAAGGGTAAACTATAATATTGTTATCCTGAGTTACTCCTTAGTTTGTGTTGATTGGAGCTGGTGATTAAGTAACCTGGTGATTAAGTAACCTGGTGATGATAAATTTGCTTGTTTGTTTATATACCGTAGTTCACCCCCTATGGCGCTGATTAAGAAAGGGAGATTAGACAATATTAACCCTTTAAACGCACGTATCTAAGGGAGAATATCTTTCTCTTCACCCTAATTTACCCTTATATTTAAAGGAGACCAAAATATTGCTGAACTTTTTTTTCTATTTTTTTTTTCTTCTATTTCTGATGATTCTAATGTTTATGATGATTAGTGAGTTGTTAACACTGACCACTAACACTCTTAATGGTGCTTCAAGGTCTCTCTCTCTCTCTCTCTACCTGTCCACTTTACCTGTTCCAAGTACTCATATTATAATAGTGAACTTACCACTTTTTTATTTTTTTATTTATTGTTTCCATTTTGTTTCATACAGCTCATTGATAGCCTGTAATGGTGTGTCTGAACGTTAGATTATGGTAATGAACACACCACTCAGCGACCTTCATAGGCAGTTAGAACGTCCCTCACAGTGTAGGGAAAAGCTATTCAGAATCTCAAACTTCCTAAAATAACATTAATTTATGAATAATAATAAATAACGACATCAATAACATAACTGGGTCATTGGAAGTCATTAGTGGGATTGTTTAGATGCAATAACATAAGATTCACCCAATGTCGGTCAGTGATTGTTCAGATTTTGACAGTTAAATAACGTATTCAATAACGGAACTGAATCACTGTGTAAAAATATCCTATATAGGTAGTAATGTGATTGTCTAGGTGCAATAACACAACTGAGTTACAGAATGTGGTTCATTGAAGGTTATTGATGTGATTATTTAGGTTTTTAACAGGTAAAAATGACGAATTCAATAACATAAATGAGTCACCGAGTATAGCTTATTGGGGGGTTATTGACGTGATTGCTTTTATTTTAAGAGCTAAATAACGTACTCCGTACAATAAAACCCACCACGTAGGTTATTGACGTTATTGCATGGAAATCACATCACTTTACGGCATGTGGTGTCCTCGGTACTGAATTAACCCGTACCTGTAATTAGGATACGTCTACGTCTACCTGCAACACCTGTATGTATATTCTGTTATCCACACCTGTACCTACACGAAGTCAACATCTGTATTTATAACACCTGCAACTGCTCATACGATTAATTATACACCTGTAAATTCCTCCTCAGAATTCGTATCCAATTTTCTTTCGTTCACAAATACATTATTCTCTTCTCTTCTCTTCTCTATCAATTATCAAATTCCGTCTTATAACACTGTTTTTTGTCCACGTATAAATAAAAAGAATAACAAAAAACAAAAATAAGAAAGAGAGAGAGAAGAATAATGAATAGTTTTAGAGTTAATAGAAAGATTTGATAAAAATAATATTAGAACTTAAAGAATGAATAGAAAGACTAATACGAAAAAAAAACAACAACACGGACATGAAAATAAAAACGACAAAAACAAAAACAAAATATAACAAAACGAAAAAAAAAAATCCCAACCTGGAAATAAAAACCGACTAATAAAACAGTAGACGACAACACAAACAGGACTTAGGCTAAGGTAATATCCTCTGTTGTGTTATATAAAAGAGGTAAGAATGGCCCGTCTCCACTACGGCTATATACTGTATGTAGGAGAGTGGTGAGTTACGAGGGTGTAGGGTGTGGTGTAGGGTGTGGTGTAGGGTGTGGTGTAGGGTGTGGTGTGGTGTAGGTGTGGGGTAGGTGTGGTGTGGGGTAGGGTGTGGTGTGTGGTGTGTGTGGGTAGGGGTGTGGTGTGTAGGGGTGTGGTGTGTGGTAGGGTGGTGTGTAGGTGTGGTGTGTAGTGGTGTGTAGGTGTGGTGTGTGGGGTGTGTGTGGTGTGGGTGTGTGGTGTGTGTGTAGGGTAGGGTGTGGGTAGGGGTAGGGTGTGGTGCAGGGTGTGTGGGTAAGTAGGGTATAGGGTGTGCAGTGGAAGGTAAGAGAATGAGGAAGAAGGGAGGGAGGGAGAGGAGGGAGGAGAGGAAGGAAGACAGAGAGAAAGGGAGGAAATGGTGAAAGGGAGGAGTGAGTGGGAGAGAGGAGTGAAAGAAGGGAAAGGGAGGGTAAAAAGGAATAAGGAGGAAGGGCAGAAGGAGGTGATGACTAAGGGAGGGAGGGAGAGGGAGGGAGGAGGAGGGAGGGAGGGAGGGAGGAGGAGGGACAATGTGGTGGGGTTAGGTTAGCTTATAACGTGAAAGCCTGTTAAATAATGGAGATGGAGGGAAGAGGCTAATATATTAAATTGACCTGTAATGACCTTAATTACACCAAACAACCTGACCCCCAGAGAGAGAGAGAGAGAGAGAGAGAGAGAGAGAGAGAGAGGGGAAGTCGTTTAAGTGAGGAACGAGGGAAGGAGGGGATGGAGGGAAGTAATGGAGGAGGGAAGTAATGGAGGGAGGGAGGGAGGAGGAGGAAATGAGGGAAGATGGAGGAGGGAAGTAATGGAAGGGAGGGAGGAAGAAGAATGAAGGAGGGAAGTAATGGAGGAGGGAGGGAAGAATGGAGGGAGGGAAGTAATGGAGGAGGAAGGGAAGTAATGGAGGGGGAGGAGGAAGGAGGGGAAGAATGGAGGAGGAAGAAAGGAGGGGAAGTAA